GAGGTACCTCAGCTTCAGCAGGTTGGGGTGCACGCTCACGAGCACCACGAAGTACAAGAGCACGATCAGGAAATAGTCCCGCAAGCCGCCCGAGTTCATCGTTAAGAGAGGGGACATCGGGCTGGAACTTGGCACGACGCTTCCAACGCCCACCAGCAGCAGCAGGGACTTGATCCTTCGTGCCATCCTTCGCGAGGTACGAGCCTTTACACTTCGAGCATGAGATGTGACCGTGGTAGTCGAACTCCCAGTGCCCGCACTTCGAGCACACGCTGTAGCTAGACCGAGCATCATGACCAGGTCGACGACGAATCCACGGTGCATATTGCCAAGGCATGGCAGGAGAAAACTCCAGAGCGATGGCGGGTGCTCCAGCAGGCGCTCACAAAATATGGAAAGCAGGCTCACAAGAGCAAACCTGGTGGCGGGGCAGCACACCAGGCAAAACACGCGCCAAATTCACCCGAGCCTGCCGCACGGCTTGAGCCAGATGGCTACGGGGAGGAGGAGGAGGAGGAGGAGGAGGAGGAGGAGGAGGAGGAGGCGGATGAGGACGAGGAGTACGAGGAGGACGAGGACGCAGATGAGGACGAGGATGAGGAGGACGAGGACGCGGATGAGGACGACGCGGACGAGGACTCATGGAACCATCTAGAGGTATTCTTGCGGCTGCTGCTGCTGCTGCCGGTGCTCTCTGGGAGTTTTTGTTGGCCCTCTTGGAATCCTCTTGGTAACACTGGAAGGCTTCTTGGGATCATCTTGGAGACCATCGATTACAGGATGGTGGGGTCCCCAAATCAGCTCCCCCCTCATGAGCAGGCAACCCGCTTCTTTGGGCTCTCTTGGGGCGTTCTTGGTCGCTCTTGGAGCGGTCTTGGGGCCGTTTGGAGCATCTTGGGAGCCATCTTGAGCCAGCTTGGGCTATCTGAGCCATCTTGGAGGTGAGACTGGGCTCTCTGAGGGGGCCTCTTGGGGGCCTCTCGGGTGCCTCTTGGGGCTCTATTGGGACCCTCGTGGAGTCCTCTTGGGGCTCTCTTGGGGCTCTCTTGGGAGCCCTGGAGCGCCTGTTGGGGCCATCTTCGATGCTATCGATCAAAGGAGGGAGGGTCCCGATCGAGGTCCCCCCCCGCGGGGGCCACGATCCTCGTGTCGGGTGTCAAAAATTGGCCCTGCCAGGAGCCGAAAAAGGGCCCTCCAACCGTCTTGGAGCTTCGGAAGCTCGAAAAAGCGAGAACCCAAAATACATTGACAACGCGATCGACAATCAAAGGTTTTTGCCTCTCGGGGCCTTTTTGGGGCCCTCTTGTGGCCCTCTTGGGGCCTCCTGAGCCCTCTTGGGGCGGAAGGCTCTCGAATTGTCAGTTCGTGTTCAGCCTCGTGGGTCGTCTTGGGTCCGTATTGGGGCCCATTTGGGCATTTGGTCGCCTCTGGGACCGTCTTGGAGCCCTCTTGGGCCCTCTTGGAGCCCTCTTGGGGGCCTCTTGGGCCGTCTTGGGGCAGTCCTGGTGGCCTCTTGGGTCTTCTTGGGACGCGGGAAGCTCGAAAAGGCGAGAACCCGAAATATCTTGAACAATTCGTGAAACATGTTTTTTCCGCCTCTCAGGGCCCTCTTGGGGAGGCTCTTGGGGCTCTCTTGAGACGCCTCGGCGGCTTGAAGTGATCTTGGGCCGTCTTGAGGCCAAAGCTGTCTGTCTAGGAGCGATATTGGGCCGCTTTGGAGGCATCTCTGCCTCGGGAGTGCCCATCTGTCGTATTTTGCGAGGGACTGTGGCCCCTGGGGAAAAGGGACGGGGTGGTGCACGCAGGTGGGTGCTTCCCGAGGGGAAGGGGCGGCCCTCAGAGAATCACAGAAACCCTACCAGGCAACACTTGGTATTGTGGCACGCCCCAGCGTGCCATGGGGGCACGGTGGCGGATCGTAATTTCTGACTGCGGCGTGCCTGCCGCGAACAAGGCGCGCACGAGCTAGTAATGTCTGGCGTGCCTTGTGTAGTCCCTCGCTTTTTTTTTTGCTTGTCTGAGTGTGGAACTTCAGCTTGGGCATTCGATTCCTGCCCATCCCGTGCTTGGGCCCCACCCTGTAGCGCCCTCGCAGTGTCCCACGCAGGTCGCAGTTGCAGTCGTCAGGCAGTGCGTGCCAGCGGGCATTCACATCGGAACAGAAAAAAAACAGCATAAGCAAAACTTGCAGCGCTGCGCGCGGATTTCTTCGATGTGCGCCCGGTCGCCCTGGCGGTGCCTCCGGCTCCGCCCTTGGCTTGCTCCGCGCGGTGGGGAGGGGGGGCCAAAGCAGATCCAAGACATCCGCGCAGATCTCCAAAAGTGTATGTTCATGTTTTTGTTTTGTTCCTCTAGGGTTTGCATCCTCTAGGGTTTGCCTGTTTTTTCCTGAGTTCTCCGCTATGTTACTGATTTTCAGCGCAGCCTTCTCAAAATGGGCAGCGGCTGCCGTCGGTCTTCGTCACCCCCCTCTCTCCGTACCCAGTTCGATCGTCAGAGTGGGGGGCGAACGTCCTCGGTGAATCCAGAAATCCGCTTTACATCGCCCCCCAGACCCCTCTCTGGGTCCATCCTGACACATGTTTCAAAGTGGATCCAGCCGTGGCGTCGGGAAGCCTGAAGGAGAAGGCGGCGGAGGAGGAGGAGGAGGAGGAGGAGGAGGAGGAGGAGGGGGAGGGGGAGGAGGAGGAGGAGGAGGAGGAGGAGGAGGAGAAGGAGAAGGAGAAGGAGGTGGATGATGATGATGATGATGATGATGATGATGATGATGATGATGATGATGATGATGCTGATGCTGATGCTGATGATGATGCTGATGCTGATGCTGATGCTGATGCTGATGCTGATGCTGATGCTGATGCTGATGATGCTGTGCTGCTGATGATGATGATGATGTGATGATGATGATGATGATGATTGATGATGATGCTGATGCTGCTGCTGCTGCTGCTGCTGCTGCTGATGATGATGATGATGATGATGATGATGATGATGATGATGATGATGATGGTGAGGATGAGGAGGATGAGGAGGAGGAGGAAGCCTAACAACGAAGAGACCGAGAAGGCCTCCTCGGGAGGCTGCCGTTGTCTCGACCAGCCCTCTGAACGAAGTGCCCCCATGCTTCAAGCACTCGCGCGGAATCGTCGTGTTCAGCCACACTGCCCGGAGGAAGGGCCGTTCCTCCTTGTGTGGGCTGTGCGGATGCTGGGCGGGTATCTCAGCCTCGCGATCTGCTCGACACTCCCGTTCGCCGGGTCCCCGCTCCCCTGGGTGAGAAGGAGGGATGTGGGACGACGAGGACGAGGACGAGGACGAGGACGAGGACGAGGAGGAGGAGGAGGAGGAGGAGGAGGAGGAGGAGGAGGAGGAGGAAAAGGAGGAGGAGGAGGAGGAGGAGGAGGAGGAGGAGGAGGAGGAGGAGGAGGAGGAGAGGAGGGGGAAACAGGGCCCTCTTGGAGCGTTTCAGGGCCGTCTTGGGCGTTTTGGAGGCCTCTTGGGTCGTCTTGGGGCCGTCTTGGGGCCGCTTCGGCCGTCGTGAGGCTATCTTGGAGGCCTCTGGGGCGATCTTGGGGCGATCTTGGAGGTCTGTTGGGCCGGCTTGACGCAGCCGCCCCCGCGCCGGCATTCTCAGGGCCGCGCGTGCCACGGCCGCGGCATGCAGTCTGAGGCGACGGCGGCGCTGTCCCTCGCACGGCAGCGCCGCTGGCTCAGCCGCTGGCCCCCGCCCCCGGTTCCGTCGCCCCCTCCTAACCCGCCGACGGAAAAAGTTTAGATCGGGAGCGTTTTTCTTGAGGCAACTGTTCCAAAATGAAACTTTTTGGTCGTTTATGGAAGAAAGAGCGTGTTCTACAGGCGGTAGTGGGGACGGTGGTGGGGCAGTGATACAGTGGGGACAGTGGTGGGGACAGTGGTACAGTGGGGACAGTGGTGGGGACAGTGGTGGGGACAGTGGGGACATTTCGAGCCGGTAGTGACCCCCCTCCCGTTTCTCTGGAGAGGGGGGGGGTCGAACGGATAGTGGCCCCCCCCGGTTTTCTGGAGGGGAGGGGGGTCGAATTCGTAGTGGCCCCCCACGGTTTTCTGGAGAGGGGGGGGGGGTTCGAACCGGTAGTGATCCCCCCGGTTTCCCGGAGAAGGGGGGGCGGGGGGAGATGTCGTGCGTCAAGGAGCGTAGCATTAGCATTCGCAGCATCAGATATGTCACGGGCTCGGTGCGTTTGTTGGATTCTCGGGAGAGTGCACAGCGCGTTCCGGCAGAACCCGCGAGTAGGTTAGCTCCTGGGTATCTTTCGTTTCCAGTGTGTTGCATCGCGCTGCAGGTCCCCCGTGCTGGCGCATGTTCCAGAGACCTCTCCCTGCCTGTCCGTCCAGCTTGTTCCGGAACAACGTTTCCGGAACACGCTGGAACGTGCACCGGAACAGCGTTTCCGGAGCACGTTGGAATGCCCGTCTTGTTTGCTATTGTGCGGTGGCGTTAACCCGGCCGGGATGGCCAGCACCGTAATTTGTTACATTCGTTGTTTCTGCATTGTTGGATATAGAAGTCAGCAGCAGCGTAGGAGCAGAGAGCCACTCAAATGCGGCGCGACCCCACGCCTGCATGCGAGTGGTTTTCGCCAGCAGCAGCGTAGGAGCAGAAAGCCACTCAAATGCGGTGCGACCCTGCGCGTGCATGCAAGTGGTTCTGGATTTCTGTGTCTGTGGGTTTTTGGCTCAAGACGCGGTGGAGGAAAAACAGTCCCTCTTCCCGCATGGGGGCTCGCGGCGGCCAGCCCTCCCGGGGAGGCCGCAAAGCAGCGTCCCGCAATTGGTCCCTTGAGCTACGGTTGGTTGAGACAGCCGAGTGGCTCTTCAGGGACGTCCTCGGCGTGGCACCGCGGCCCCATTGGGGCCCATTGTGGCTGCTGCCAGCTTCCCGGGACGAACTCGTGGCCTATCTCGGGGCCGTTGCCGGACCCCCGGAGGTCGACCCATAATCGGAGTTGAGTGAGTAATTGTAGAAAGGGGCTCGGGTCTGGTCTGAATGACGCCAGAGGACAGTAGAGCCCTTTCAAGGGTTATGGGCCCAAGCGAGGGATTCTACCACCCTGCGTTTGGAACTCCGCTCGCCCATGGATTCCCAGCAGCGCCGATGCCGCCGCCCGCTGCGCTGATGCGCGCGCGGTGCAGGGCACGCTCGGACATAATCGTGGGCCCGTCGGTGGTGTGCGACACCTGCATCACCGACGTCCACTGCCATTGCATGCAGCCTTGGCAGGGGCATGCAGTCTGCTTCGCCTGTTTCGCCGGCCGCGACATCGCGTACGGTCGTCGGCAGGCAGCCTGGTCGAGCGGTCTCGCAGGACAGCTTGGCCGCACCGTGGCGTCTGGCGCGCAGATGGCTGGCCACGCAGTGGGGGCCACGATCAGCACCGCCGCGACTGGAGTGCAGCGCCTTGCCATCGGCGCTGCGGCGGGAGCGCGCCAGACGTGGGCGGCGGGCACGATGATGCCGCTGCTTCTATTATTCGGGACTCGTGTTCTCACCTCTCGGGGACACGTAAGACTCGAGTAAGCCGGATGTCGGGTTTGCCGACGTTTTTTTGACGAGCGCGCCCTACATTTTGACGGTCCAGCTGTCGTGGGATGTTTGCAGCGGGAGTTCGCGTCAAATTTCAGATCGTCATTTTCATGATGGCCCCGTCATGCCAGCCCGAGCCCCCCGTACCCGAGTCTTGCGTCTCTTCGAACCTCAGTGCCCGTTACATGTTAGGTCCTGACGGCCACGATCCTTCGTAATAGCACCGTGCGGTGCACACGGCCGTGCCCTGTCCCAGCCACCATCTCTTCAATCAAATAATTGACCTCCCCGTCATCGCCACCATCATCATAACTTACCTTCCCCAGGACAATCTTCTATTATCTCCGCCAGAACCCCGAACTGTATCATCCCAGGGGGTTTATTATCGCCCGTGGTCGGTTGCACGAACGTGCTCCTGATCGCGCTCTCACCTCTGTCCTGGCTGCATCTTTCTGCGGAATGCCTAGGGGATGCACGTCTTCATTGGCCGGCCTGCTCCTCGACCCGCCTCTTCGCCGCTCCCCGCTGTCGGAGTGCTTGGCCGGGGCAATTTCGATCGCGGCGGTGTTCTTTCGTGTCGGTCCTTGATGCCTGGCATCGGGCCCCAGGATCATCAAGAACGGATCCGGGGCGGAAAGCTGTTCCTGGGGAGCGGGTCGGGATCTCTGGTGCCGCGTATCGAAAAATAGCAGTTCCGCGTGTCTGAGAACGGAGACGGTCGATTAGCCGTAAGAGTGACCCTTCGCTGGAGTGACCTTTTGGTGCGGGCCCATTGGGGTCCCCCGATCGCAAAGCGCGACAGTAGCGTCTTGCGCCCTGGTGTTCGGTCTCAGTTTGGTCACCCCGCGGCCCTCCCAAAGACCGCGCACCAAAGTCACTCGTACCCAGTGTTCCTCTTGCGTGTGATCGAAACGGGGCCCTGAGTTTTTGTCGGCCCGCCGGCCAAGCCCAGGCTGCGGGCGGCCGCGTCGTCGTCGGGGTCGTCGTCGTCGTCGCCGCCGCGATTGCGGCCGTGATGGTCGAAGTCGTCGTCACGTCTTTGCCTCCTGTCCGAGGTGGAGGATCGAGAGCGCCAGGGTCCAGGGTGAGGGTCAGGGGGCGGTACAAGTTGCAAGCGAGGAGGAGCAGGAGGAGGAGGAGGAAGAAGGCTGCCGGCCCCCGCCCTCGCCTTCGCGCTGAGGCACCCTGCGTGCAGACCTCGCACGCAGTCCCCTCTGCCGCCTTCTCCGGATGGGCTCTGCGTGCCGAATGTGCCGCTTTCCCCCCCCCCGCCCCTTTTCCCCCTCCTAACCACCTGTGGTCGGTGATTCAACGATGGGGTCCTGAGCTGGGCATCGCTCGGACGTGTGCTTTTTTCTCGGCGAGGACCATCGAGGAGCATCTTTGATCATTTAGCGGAAAATACACGCAAGAAGTCGAACAATGCACGGTGAATGGACGTCCGAGCGATGGTGAGTGAGGGATGGGGGCCTATGGGTAGGAAGGGATCCGAGGGTGGCCTGGCGCTGCTTGAGGCACCTCGTCCTCGGGACCCCATCCCTCAGGACCCCCTCTGTAAACCACAAAGATGTTGGCGTCCCCTCGACGCAGACCCTTGGCATCGCTCGGACGTGTGCATTTTTCTTCGGCGAGGCTCATCGAGGACCATCCTGTACCATCGGGAGCAAGACAAGCATGCACGAAGCCGAAGCATGCACGGGGAAGTGGACGCCCGAGCGACGGCAAGGACCCCACAGCCGCAACAGAAGGCCGCCTTCGCCTTTGCAGAAGGGACTTCCCTGCCTTCGCAGCAGGCCGGCCCCCCGTCGCGGCCTCAAACCCCCCTCCTGCGCTCTCCGCCGGGAGGATGCGGGCGGCCCTCGGCTGCCCTATGGGAGGTCCTCCGCGGCCCCGGTCCCCGGCAGGCCGTCGGAGGCCCTCGGGGGCGTTCGGAGGTCTCCCGAGGCTTCGTCGTCGTCGTCCTCGTCCTCGTCCTTGTCGTCCTCCCTCCCTCCACTCCGGGGGCCTTCTCCTCCTCCTCCTCCTCCTCCCTCCTCCTCCCGCCCTCCCTCCCTCCCTCCCTCCCTCCCGCCTTCCTCCTCCTCCTCCTCCTCCTCCTCCTCCTCCTCCTCCTCCTCCTCCTCCTCCTCCCTCCTCCCTCCTCCCTCCTCCCTCCCTCCCTCCCTCCCTCCCTTCCTCCCGCCCAACCGCCCAACCGCCCAACCGCCCTTCCCGCGCCTCCTCCCCACCTGCTCCGCCCCCTGCCCCAAGAAAAAAGGGCCTCCCCGAGGGCGAGCCAAGCCGAGAGCGGGCGCGCGCGATTGCTCAGGGGAAGCGCGTGCGTGCGCGCCGTCGCGGGCAGCTATCAGACAGCAGCAGGAGTTCTCTTTCCTGCCGATTCCGATCGACCCCGCCCCTCCGCATCCCATCCCTCGAGGAGGACAAGACTGCTACAGTGGGGGGCCATGCCAAGAACCACCCTGCCTGCCTCCACGGTGCCCTGGGTTTCTTGGGTTTCGATGGTTTCGCTGTGGAAGGCGCGACGTTCCCACGCCAAACATCGATGGGCGTTCTGGAGTCTCAGGGTTGGGCTTCTTGTGGAAGGTGTCTTGTGGTCGGGCCCCTGCCGTATTATCTTTGACAGAAAGAGTGGTCCTAGAGGTCCTGTGCGAGGTCGTGCGCGGGATGTCTTGTTTGGGCTCTTGTGTTGGGCTCTGGGCGTCGATTCGCTTTCGCTTGCTCAGTTCTCCTGAACAAGCCGTTTTGTGCGCGTCTTGTGCGGGACCATTTTCTTCGCGACCATTGTTTGTGTTAAAATCAATACAAGTAATCCAGCTGCCTAAGGCAAGTTCCGTCACCGTGCCTGGGCTGTGGGCGTATGAAGCCTACTGGATGTTCGGTGGGATCTCGTGGGTGGCCTCTCGGGGGCCCCTTGGAGGCAGTTTAGTTGCCTCATTGGGCCGTCATGGGGCATCTTGGGGCCTCTTTGGGGCCTTTTGGGGGCCTCTTGTGGGCCTCTGGGCCTCTTGGGCGCCTCTTGAGGCCTCCTGGGGGGCTCATGGGGCGGAATGCGAGAATGTTCGATTCGTGTTCCCTCTCTTGGGCCCCTTGTGGGGCCGTCTTGGAGCCCTCTTGGGCCGTCTTGGGCGCCTCTCGGGCCCTCTCGGGGCACTCTTAGGCCGTCTTGGAGCCCTCTTGGAGAGCTCTTGGCCCGTTTTGGAGTGGTCTTGGAGGCCTCTCGGGCCGTCTTGGAGCGTGAGAAAGCTGAAAGGCGGGAACGCCAACATCTTTCAAACATCAACGGGCAATCCATGATTATTTGTATCTTTAAGCCCTCGTGGGAGGCGTCTTGGTGGCCTCTTGGGGCGTCTTGGAGGCCTTGTGGGGCGTCTTGGAGGCCTTCTTGTGCGTCTTCTAGCGATCGTGCGGCGACTCGGGGCCCTCTTGGACCCTCTTGGGGGCCTCCGGGGCCCTCATTGAAGCCTCGGAGAGCCCCAGTGGAGGCGCCATGGCCGCCCTGGACCTCCCGGGAGTAAGGGTGGGTGTGACCGGGAGGGCGCGGGGGTCCCTTGTACCACTACAGGAACCCCGCCAGACAGTCCTCGGCATTCTTCCACGCCTCAGCGTGCCGCAGGCACGGCGGCGGACACAAACATCCGGAGCTCCGCTCGGATCTCTTGGATCGGCGCTGGGCCCCCTCTCCTGGCGGCGCCAGGCGCCGCCCCCGGCGCGCGGAGCGCGCCCGGGAGGGGCGGGGGCCAGCACAGATTTATGTCGGGCCTGTCCCTCTGCAGGGGGAATATTCAAAAATAGTAAAAAAATAGTCTGGGGGGCTATTTCTTCCGTATTTTTTGATCATTTTGGAGCATTCTTGGGTATTTTTTTTCGTCGAAAATCTCCCTGTAGGGGGACATGCCCGACTTAAGCACAGATCAAAGAAAGTCGCGCTGAGCCTCAACAGTTTGCAGTCAACCCGCATCGTAAGGATGGGCATCCTTCCTAAGGGTATCCCTGCACCCTCGCCCCATCGGCCCATCCTTGGCGACTTTCACTGGCCAGCCCCGCTCGAACAGAAACGTCAACTTGGTCCTCCAAGGCCCTTACATCCTCACCGCGCATCCTTATGATACGGGTTGAATGCACGTCATGGAAATCGTGTGGGAAAGTGTGGGCACCCTGGAGGCAAGCAGGGTGTTTTTGGCTGAGCCCCCCACTGTACGTCGCGCCGTTTTTTGTTGTCCCTCCCCTCCCCCGTCCCTCCTCCCGTAGCGGGGCGTCAGCGCGCCAGTCGCGCGGAGGTTTTCCGGCGCCTCTCCCCCGCGTTCCGCTTATGGCCACCCTTACAGACTCTTTCTTCTCGAGTTTGGGATCGATTACAGGACATGTTTACGCCAAATTTCGTGTGTATCGGTCGAACTACGAAGCATGCTACATATACGGTGCACATGCACATACATATATATATATGTATATATATATGTATGTCTGGGTTTATCTACATATATAGATATATGTATGTATGGTCGCCCCCCATCCTGCACCCCCAAACCACAATAATCACAACACCTTGAATGATCGTTCGCTCGTCGTCGTCCTCGTCATCCTCCTTCTCCTCCTCCTCCTCCCCTTCTCTTCGAGAGCCTTCGAACTCAACGAAATCGCGAACACAAAACGAACACCTTGCAACAAAAAGAACAAACAAAACATACAAACTGTAAACCATATGATTTCGGGAGAATCTTGTCCGCCCCTCTCCACAGCACTTCTCCCGAAATCCAATCTGTTTTTGTTTTGTTGGTTTTGTGGTGTGCTTTCGATGTCGTTCGCGATTTCATTAGGCCTCCGCAGAAGGATTCCCTTTGAAATCATCCGCAAGGATTCCTATTGAAATCCTAAACATTGGATGCCCTTACTTCTACAGGGGGCGCACTTGTTTCTTATTGCTTCTGCGTCGCGGCGGGTTTGCCGCTGCCTTTTGTTCTTCCTTGTTTGGTAGGTCGTTATTGTTGTTCTGTTTTGCTTTTTGTCGTGCTTTGCGGCGTTCGTCTCCACGAGGGCATCCTAAACATTGGATGCCCTTTTCACCACAGACGACGCACATGTTTCTCACTGCTTCTG